AAAGGACTTGTAACTGGAAAAACTGAATGAAAAAGAATGTTAACAACAAATACTTTTTCATACCCAACCCAGTTCAACGGAATCAGAATCAACGTTGAGTTTAAGCAAGCGAATGAGCCAATTGGAGTAAAGTGCCATGCAGATTTAAATTTTTCCCACTTGTGACGAATGCAGCTATTGATTTTTTTGCATGCTAGCATGCTAGTTAACATTCGTGTCAGTCAGCTGTTGGCTCTCACGCTGGCCAGTTGAATCTTCCTGCCTATTCATGGCAGCCAGCTATTGGCTCTCACTCTGGCCAGTACAAAAAAGCCGCAAACTACATGAAAACTGCTGTAGAAGCATGAAAAAATCGATTAGTTCCACTATCGATGGGAGTTGGGAAATGCAAAGTTAGTCTTGGTCTTCCCGCTAACTTGGAGCATGTGCATGTAAATTTTGATGCAAATCCATCAAAAATTGCAGCCGTGCATTCGTTACACACACACACACACATCCTGCCTTTTATGCATATATATATATATATATATATATATATATATATATATATATATATAGTAACTTTTGAAAGGATGTTTTATCTGATATTATTTCTTATTACTATAAATGATATTTTTCATGGGTACATGTGTTTGAATAGTACTTTTGACTCCTGTCAGAATCATAGTCTTTCTTTAGCAGCACATCTCAATTTAGAATGGTTGTTATTAATTTCACTATTTAATGAAAATAAACAACAGTGATAGCAGATAAAAAAAAAATTTTCTAATAATAAGATATAATGCCAGATAAAAAAAAAAACATAAAATATCAAAATCAACCTGTGGCATAGTTTTTAGGCACTTTCCAATACTGAGATCTTCTCCCCAAGACAACAGCATCAAGAAAGCACCTCCATAAGAAATCAACCATGGTGAGATTTTAACCCAGGTCTTATTATCAGAAAGTTAACATTCTGGCCACTTATCTATATATATGTATGCATGGGAGTAATACAAATCATGCTTTATACATATTGATATTAATGACTCCAGATTCTATTTTCAGGCTGCAAAGATTGAAGCTGAAATTTCTGTTAATCCTGCAAATTATAGTAAAAGTTTCAAGGGAGAGTTTGTTGCAGGCCATCTAAATAATTTAGATTAAAATTAATGAAAAATTAGTGATGATTTACAACCATAAATGGCTACAAATGTCCTACAACGATCAGATAAAATTTCTTTTATTCTTAATTGAATTGAATATTTTTTGTGAAATTTTCTAATTTGTTCTTTTCCAATTTTTATTTTTTTACAAGAATTTTTATGAGTTGCAATTATTTATTACAATTGTAAGCTATTTTGAAACACATGTCTTTATGTTTATCAGTCTCTCTTATCTAGATTAGGAAGGGACTGCTGTCTGCTTTTGTAGCTAAATTGAGTTTATAAAGTGATAAAATTGTTTGAATAAAAGTTATAGAGAATCTAGAATTATAATAAAAAAGAAAATTTCAAATTTTGAACAATTATTAACCCACAAAAAAAAGCAAATGAAAATAAATTAAGATTAAAATCGAAAAATATTGAAAAGGAATTATTTTCTTTATTAATAAGAAAAAGCAAGAATTTTGGTTTTATATAAAAATGTATTAGAAAAAATAATGACCCATAATAAAAAGTAATAAAAGAAAAAGAGTAAAAGCACACAAAACTGACAAAAATGAAAACATAGACAAAGAAAAGATAGGTATAATACTGCTTTGTTTTAAAATCATTAAACAACGTGTTGATGTCAATATGATGTAAGGAATTACTGGGAATGGAAGAGAATAACTTTAGTGAGGAGAAAGGACGATAAAAGAATAGGCTTCATGAAAAAAGAAGATGGCAATTGATGTTGTATTTAAATTTTTGAAGATTGTAGGTGGCAGGGAAGCATGAAACTAGAAATGAGTTCTAGAGTTGAGAAAAAAAATATTAGAATAGAAATTATGGCTATATCTACCTATTTCAACAGTAAAATGATGAGACCTAACTGCCAATCTAGTAGTATGTTTAAATTCATGTGAAAATGACTGAAGTTTAGATGCTAGGTCAAGACCAATAACTTTACAGACTTCTTTAGATTTTGTTGAAAATCTCAAGATATATAGCCAGAGTTTTAGACCAGATATGGCAGCAATATTCAATGCACATATGAAGGATTAGATTTATAAATGTGCTAGATGGATTCTAATGAGAAAAATTGTCTAGCAGGACACAATGGACCAACTTTCCCAACATTAAAGCAAGCAATTGATTCAATATAATGACTCCACTCTGAAAAAGTGCAATGAGTTGCTCTTATTGGGGTTAGCATCATCCATGTTGATGAAGAGCAAAAAATAATTCAGGTTAGCATCATCCATGTTGATAAAGAGCAAAAAAATAATTCAGGTTAGCATCATCCATGCTGATGGAGGGCAAAAAATAATTCAGGTTAGCATCATCCATGCTGATGGAGGGCCAAAATAATTCAGGTTAGCATCATCCATGTTGATGGAGGGCAAAAAATAATTCAGGTTAGCATCATCCATGTTGATGAAGAGCAAAAATTAATTCAGATTAGCATCATCCATGCTGATGGAGGGCAAAAAATAATGCAGGTTAGCATCATCCATGCTGATGGAGGGCAAAAAATAATTCAGGTTAGCATCATCCATGCTGATGGAGGGCAAAAAATAATTCAGGTTAGCATCATCCATGTTGAGGGAGGGCAAAAATTAATTCAGATTAGCATCATCCATGCTGATGGAGGGCAAAAAATAATTCAGGTTTGCATCATCCATCCTGATGGTGGGTAAAAAATGATTCTCTATGATGATTCAGGAATAGAATATTCTGCAGAATGGAAGGATGATGATGATAATAATAATAGTAATAGCAATAACAATAATAATAATGAATGAATAAGTAAATTAATAAACACTGTTGTGTGTTACTGCTCATCTACTCAGGAGAGTATCATTAATATGAAGAAAATATAAACACTGCATATATTAAGTATGACTTAACATCAGAATTTGTTCAAACAGAATACATACTGGAGGTAACAGCAAAATTGTCCATCCCACAAAATGTTTAATACCTAAAACACTACTAAACTAATTGAGTTTCTTTTTTTTCATGTTTTCAGATAAGACATTTAACCACCTTGACACCATTTGTCATAAGAATCATCAAAAAGCCCTTTGAGTTATTCAGCTAGAAAGAGAACTGGTTAAAATCGTTTTTTGTTAGCCCCACTATATCTTACCAACTGAGCAATGGTGAGAGGAAAAAAATCATTCAGGCTTTCAGTAATGGTACGAACATTCATACTCTGGCTTCCATCTTCAAAGTCCATTCAAGGAGCATCAAGAGAATGGTGAATAAGTTTTAAAAAGAGGGAACAGTAGAGAGAAAAACTGAATCAGGAGGTCACAACAGAAAGAGGGGTCATCATTTCAACTTAGAGCTAAATATATTCTTATTGTTCAAAGTAGGGTCCAATAGTTTTATAAAAACACTGTAGAATTCCAGTAATATATTTTTAATAATTTCTAAGATATAATAGATCAAAGCTTACTCTAACAATTGGACAATATTGCTGTTACACCCAGTATATTTACTACCTTATTATACATTATGTCTTGGGTAATGACTTTGTAAGGAATCATACTAAGCACAAAGCAACATAAAAAGGAAATAATAATAGTAATAATGATGATGATAATGATTTGGGATGTTCAGGCCACTGCTCTCCCAGTTACTGGTGTATTGGAGTCTTTACCACCAAAGTCTTACATTGAGAAAAATGGAATAAAGGCCTGGTTTCTCAAAAACTGCATTGCTTGGTACTAAAAATATTCTACAAAAGGTGCTGTCTGTCTGAGTTTGTGTTACTTGATAGAGAATAGCCATAATGTGAGATCTCCAGTTGGAAACGAAAAACCATGTGGAAGGAAGTATAATAATAATAATAATAATAATAATAATAATAATAATAATAATAATAAAGGAAAAAATAGAATAAATAATAGAAAAAATTTCTATAAAAATAAAAAAAAACTCATCTTTTCCTTAAATAATATTTTTGATAGTATAATGTCCAGAATATTAATGTGTCCCTTATTTTCATAAATGATTACCAAAAAGAAAGAATATAAATAACTTTTTAAAAAAATCTACCAAAATTATTACTGAAAGACAAAATGCCGTCAATACCCAAAATAGAAGAAAAAATAATTTTGCAGAGAATAAATACATAAAAGCCGTTACATTATTTATTTGTATTTATTTATTATTTTTATTTGTTTATTAATAAAAACAAAATGCAAATTATTTTCTTGAACTGAATTTTAAGTCATTAATATTTGCTTCTTTAAAAATCATCTTCAGCTATGATATTAGAAAAAAAAAGAAAAAGTGCTGTCAAGAATATTTTATAAAGTGATGATGAAAAAAATTAGTATTCAGCATCATACAGAAAATGATCTCAAGACATCATATCTTGATGTAAGAGGTGAAAGGAAAGATATATATATATATATATAACTCTCATCTGTCTGCTCATCTCACCATTTATGTGGGTGTGGATATATATATATATATATGCACACACACACACACACACACACACACATAGACAGATGTACAGACATTGTTAGACTCTCTCTATTTAACAAAGACATATTCTTTATTCACATATATAAATATATTTATTAAAATATGCATAAATTTTTATATTCTATCTTATATGTGTGTATATATATATCTTTCTCCACTTCCTTACACACACAAATATGTGTGTGTGTGTCTCTCTCATATATATATATATATATATATATATATATATATATATATATATATGAAAGACAAGTCAGCAAAAAAAGAGACAGGAAAGAAATCAAATGTGAGAGAGAAAAATGATGTCAGAAAGAGAAATATGCACAAGGATCTTGAAGTGAAAAAAAAAATTAATGAAAAAATTTAAATAAATTAAAAAAATCCAATAAAAAGAGAAAGAGAAAAATAGGAGAGGGACAATAAAAATGAGAGTAAGAGATGGACAGTAAAAATAGGAGAGTAAGAGAGGGACAGTAAAAATGGGAGAGTAAGAGAGATTAATAAAAATGAGAGAGTAAAAGAGATTAATAAAAATGAGAGAGTGAAGTTCAATAAAAATGGGAGAGTAAGAGAGGGACAGTAAAAATGGGAGAGTAAGAGCGGGACAGTAAAAATGAGAGAGTAAGAGAGATTAATAAAAATGAGAGAGTAAGAGAGATTAATAAAAATGAGAGAGTGAAGTTCAATAAAAATGGGAGAGTAAGAGAGGGACAGTAAAAATGGGAGAGTAAGAGAGGGACAGTAAAAATGGGAGAGTAAGAGAGGGACAGTAAAAATGAGAGAGTAAGTGAGAGAAAGTAAAATAAAGAGAATGTAACTAAAAGGTGAAAGGCAACAAAATATTCTGATGATAAAAAATTCTTTTATCAAAGTAAACTAACTAGCAGAATAGTTGAAGAAAGGAACAAGCCAAAATCTTTCAGATGTCAAGATGTCCGAAGAAGATATTTCAAAGACCCTTGGGGGAGTTGAAAACAACCATGGTGGCGCCGATGGATACATGATTTGCAAAAGGAAATGTTTCAGTGTCTCCTTTCTTTTACTGACTTTCTCCATTTGCAGCCTCTCTTCCACATAATTGGCACTATTCACAAAAACTGCCATTTTGGAGTGGGAAGAAAGAATTTGGCTGGCCCAAAGTCACAATCATGAGAAGGCAGCATTTCAGTAAAAAAAAAAAAAAAAACACACATGAGAGAAATAAATTAATAACCCAGGTACTTTTTTTTTTTATTTTGCTTTGAAGGGGGTGAAGAGCTGTATTCAGTTGGGGTTTTGTGTCAATGGGGGAGAGCAAGTAGATAGAAGCAAATGCCCTGGCAGTTGACAAATGACAACAATGATTATTTGCTCTGTTGGACATGAGTTTGGAGTAAAGAACAATACAAAAATTACATTTGAGTTTGGATAAACGCAGAAAAAAAATAAGGAATTAAAAGAATATCCAAAATAAGATACTTTAGAATAATCTGACTTGATTGGCATAAAATCATATTTTTGGCAATAAAGATGTTTTAAAGGAAATTAGAACTAGAAATGGACATCTGTCTATATTTCTAAGATGAGGTATTATGTACACTATTTACATTATTCGAACTATTATCCTCATCTTTGTCACCATATTACAACGTTTGCCGTTGGCTGTTGTATGCTTTGGCCTTCTTCAGTATCTGTCTGTATTTCTAAGATGAGGTATTATGTACTATTTACATTATTCGGACTATTATCCTCATCTTTGTCACCATATTACAACGTTTCGCCGTTGGCTGTTGTATGCTCTGGCCTTCTTCAGTATCTGTCTATATTTCTAAGATGAGGTATTATGTACACTATTTACATTATTCGAACTATTATCCTCATCTTTGTCACCATATTACAACGTTTCGGCCGTTGGCTGTTGTATGCTCTGGCCTTCTTCAGTATCTGTCTGTATTTCTAAGATGAGGTATTATGTACACTATTTACATTATTCGAACTATTATCCTCATCTTTGTCACCATATTACAAGCGTTTCGCCGTTGGCTGTTGTATGCTCTGGCCTTCTTCAGTATCTGTCTGTATTTCTAAGATGAGGTATTATGTACACTATTTACATTATTCAAACTGTTATCCTCATCTTTGTCACCATATTACAACGTTTCGGCCGTTGGCTGTTGTATGCTCTGGCCTTCTTCAGTATCTGTCTATATTTCTAAGATGAGGTATTATGTACACTATTTACATTATTCGAACTATTATCCTCATCTTTGTCACCATATTACAACGTTTGCCGTTGGCTGTTGTATGCTCTGGCCTTCTTCAGTATCTGTCTGTATTTCTAAGATGAGGTATTATGTACACTATTTACATTATTCGAACTATTATCCTCATCTTTGTCACCATATTACAACGTTTGCCGTTGGCTGTTGTATGCTCTGGCCTTCTTCAGTATCTGTCTATATTTCTAAGATGAGGTATTATGTACACTATTTACATTATTCGGACTATTATCCTCATCTTTGTCACCATATTACAACGTTTCGGCCGTTGGCTGTTGTATGCTCTGGCCTTCTTCAGTATCTGTCTATATTTCTAAGAAGAGGTATTATGTACACTATTTACATTATTCGAACTATTATCCTCATCTTTGTCACCATATTACAACGTTCTCGCCGTTGGCTGTTGTATGCTCTGGCCTTCTTCAGTATCTGTCTATATTTCTAAGATGAGGTATTATGTACACTATTTACATTATTCGAACTATTATCCTCATCTTTGTCACCATATTACAACGTTTCGGCCGTTGGCTGTTGTATGCTCTGGCCTTCTTCAGTATCTGTCTATATTTCTAAGATGAGGTATTATGTACACTATTTACATTATTCGAACTATTATCCTCATCTTTGTCACCATATTACAACGTTTCGGCCGTTGGCTGTTGTATGCTCTGGCCTTCTTCAGTATCTGTCTGTATTTCTAAGATGAGGTATTATGTACACTATTTACATTATTCGGACTATTGTACTCATCTTTGTCGCCATATTTATTACAACGTTTCAGCCGTTGTATGCTCCGGCCTTCTTCAGGTGGTTGGAATGTCAAACTGAACTCTTTATTTCACTCACTGGAGTAGACTGTTCTAGTTCCACATGCCATGTCTAATGGCTCCTGTTAATTCCCCTCTCCAAGTTCTCCACTGCCTTAACCGGGTATTGAACTCACACTCTTTGGGTCTTGTCACTGGATCTAACTAATGCCTATATCCACTGTGCCATGTGTCCTTGAGGACTGACATCCATTAGACATGGCACGTGGAACTAGAACAGTCTACCCCAGTGAGCGAAATAAAGGGTTCAGTTTGACATTCCAACCACCTAAAGAAGGCCGGAGCATACAACAGCCAAATCAATGTAATAAATATGGCAACAAAAATGAGGACAATAATCTGAATAATGTAAATAGTGTAGAAATGGACAGTTGAAATTACTGAGACACATTATGAGTAAAGAGTGTTTGGGAAATTTGACACTCACAGGGCATAATGAAGGCAAAAGAAACAGAAGGAAACAGCAAGTAACCAACCTAATAAATTTTGGTGAATTGATGGCTGAGAGGGGACAAAGAAGAGTAGTAAATAGTCAAATGTTGCTGAGGGACAGGAGGTTGATGATTGTTCACATTCTGAAGGGACATAGCACATTTTCTTGGTATGGCAATTACAATTGGCAAACTGAGTTCAAACTCCATCAAGGCCTGTTGCATTCACTTTCACACAACTGCCCGCGGGAAAGGCAGGAATTCATTGCTAGAATATGTTTTCTGGTAGCCAATCTCGGAAAAAGACTTATCTGAATTCAACTAGAGAAAACGCAAGTACCATTTCCAAGGTCATGACAATTCAGACAATAAAAATATAAGAAGCTGTGGAGAGTCATGATTACCTAGATAAATAAATCTTGGATATCAAACCTAAATGGTAGATAATAATGAAACAATTAAGATTGTTTACACAGGCACTTCTTGATTAAAGCACATTTAATTAATGTGTTTTTGATTAGTGTGCTAAAATTTTTATATACCAAAATTTGATTAGTGCATACATAATACTTGGTTAGTGCAGTAAAACATTCTTCAGTTTAACCATAGTAATTGAAAATTAAGTTATTTTTATAGTTACTGATCTACAAATTAGCCACACTAATCGATGGATTCCTGTATTCTTATAAAATCCATAATCAGTCAGTTATGTGCCATGCATAATACACACTTAGGCAATCATGTATCTTTCAATACATGACTGACGAGGCAGATTTTTTCCTGCAGTAGGTTGCCATTTCTTCCTGCAGTAGACCAGTTGCCATCCAAGACTATAGATCCTGGTCTGTTCTGCTATTTACCCATAGCTGGGGAGAGAAGAAGAGGATTCATACCTTTCCCAAGGGTATTAGCACATAAGGGAATGTAATGGATTTGACTGGAATTCAAACTCGGCTCTCTGATTCTTCAATCTGAGCTGCTATACATTACTCCACAAACACTAATTAACTGTACCAAATAACAGAAACCATATAACTTGAAGACTTTTAACAGATGCAATATCTAAAATGGACAGCACATGTAAGTTGTATAGAAAATTATGACATAATCAAGATGTTGACTTTCCACACTTCTAGGTGCTGTTTCTTTCCAGGTCATGAACGATCATGGCTCTCCACAACTTCCTGTCCTTTGTAGCTCTTTATAAGCATTGACCTTTTTCTATCCCTCTTAATCCCTGTTCTGCCAACCATTTATTCAAGCTTGTTAGGCAGAATATTCACTGCTTTTCTCTGTCCCTTTTGCCTTCAACATATCCCATGTCTTAACAAAAAAAAAGTAGGTATCAATACTAGAAAGAGCAATAACAGTTACTGGACTTAAGAAAACTATTTTCCTGAATAAATTGTTTAAACAAAAAGATTTTATAAATCTCAACTGACAATAGCACTGGCTTCTTGGTCAATGAATGTCAAATCTTTTCCTTATAAGGAAATGGCTAATATTAACATTAGAGACAATTTTTGTCATTAGAATCCATCTTGCATATTTCTAAATCTAGCATTCATTGAATATTGCTGTCTGGTCTGGTCTGGTGCTCCTACCGTATAGCTTGAGATTCTTGACAAAATTCAAAGAAAGGTCTATAATGTAATCGATCCTGACCTGGCATCTTGACTTCAGTCACTCATTTTTTTTTTTTTTTTTTTTTTACTAATGTTCACCCAATAACAAGGCTCAAGGGCCACTCAAGGTAAAGGGTTACTGTGCAGAGTTTTATTAGCATAAGAAAGGGCTAGATAACAAGATAGCTTATTCTAGACTTGAAGAAGTCAAGATTTAATTAACAAATAAATTTTCAAAGTTTATGTAAAGATATTAGAAATATAAATTTGAAGTAGACTTTAGAAGTGACCAGAAACTTAAACAGGAAACAAGGGATAAACCTCTACTCCTGTTCAAAAGGAGGAGTATGAACTGGACAGTAGGTGAGCATATCTACTTTCCTACCACTGTGATGTGACTTCCCTTTGTCTTTCTTTACAAATATTTCTATGGTAATTGTTCTGATGAGCTTTCCTTCTTGGTGCCATGACTGAATGAATTTAAGCATACTACTAGATTGGCAAATAGGTATCTCTGTTTTGCTGTTGAACTTGTTAGGTATAACCATAAGTTCTATTCTAATAGTTTCTTTTCTCACACCTTTTACCTATGAAACTCTCTTCTGTTTTCTTACTTCCCTGTCACCTACAATCTCCAAAAGTTTAAATGCAATGCCAATTGCCATATTCTGTCTTC